ACTACTATAATAATACTAACTAATACTACTATACTATACTACTACTATATATATATATATATATATATATATATATATATATATATATATATATGTATGTATGTATGTATGTATGTATGTATATCCATATATATTGTATATATATATATATTTAAGTGTGTGTGTGTGTGTGTGTGTTGTATGAAGGATGTATTTGCTTAGAATGTGAGATGTATGAAGGGTGCGTGTACCTAATACGTCCATTGAGTTCTGATGAAGTAAACGTGGATGGTATTGTTCCAGTCAGGAAATAAAAACAGGCAGTGATATGTATTTTTAGGGCGTGTATACGCAAGTCATTTGGGATATTTTTAGTTTACGTATACTCGTGGGATTGACATAGGATGTCACTTCGATTGCTAGTTTGCATTCGTCTTTCTGTGCGGTGATGGCGTGTGTGCTGTGTGTCCACAAGTGTACAGACACATCCTTAAACACATTCCACTGTTGAGTCGAAGTGTGAGGGGATTCATCCATCGCAGTTGCCACATATTCAGAATCCCTTGGATGTTCCATGTGTTCTGTGATATCGTCAGCTGAGTGCCATTGGCTGGCATGAAGGTTTCAGGGTTTAGGGTTTATCACCTGTAGGTTGCATGCACCTGTGTACCAGTGTAAGTCTAGTCGCATTGGAGTTTAGATGCTTTGCGTTTCCGTACTATCTTCGGTTGAGGTCTAATTCTGCAGTGGATATGTACGCCTACGTCACCGTTACTCACTGCATAAACCTGAAGCGTATGAGCGAGTGAGTGCTTGGCCCTTATTCCCTGGCCTGACTGTATATTTTTGCCACAGGTATTGCACTGGATGTGTTTGAGAAGGAGCCCCTGCCCGATAGCTCACCCCTGTATCAACTTGGCGAGGACAAGGTATTCTACCTACGCCGCTTTCTAGGGCTTTCTACCTGCGCAGATGTCTAGGGTTTTCTATCTACGCAAATTTCTAGGCCATTCATCTACGGCCATGTGTGGTGTTGCTTATTGTTCCAATCCAGTACATATATTGGCTGTGTTGTTCATTTAATTTATTCTCGCTTGATTCACTGTGTATTGATATCTCCGATGATATCTTGATAGGCTTATCTGGTCTACTTGAGGTCCGACATATCATTAAGTAAACGGGCGAGTATCTCGTGAGTTGTTATTCATTACAGTGCAATGTCGTGAACAGTGAATGCTCTCCTTACACCTGTTAGCTCACGCTCTACAGCTACTACAGGCTCATCTCTCCGACAATTATACTTCGAGGTGCTGATCCTTTGTTTCTATTACTCATGGCAAGCTTGCGCTGTGTTCTTTCGCATCTATTACATCCTAGTCCAAAATGTTGTCTGTAGTCTGACTTACCCTATTTAAAATTGAAGAGGCTGGGGCTATAAACGAGCACCATAATTACACTGAATACCTTTTACGATACTTGCTCCCTTATTCATCCTCACTCTTATCTTATCCATCAACTGGTACTGCAGGCGTTGCTCACGTGCCACTGTGTGGACAGGACAGACGACTACTGGGAGCTCACCATGCACGTGTTCATGGCCGAACTAAACCGCTATGTCAACGGGGGGGTAGATGCGCTACAGAACGTTGTAAGCAAAGAGGAGGGATACTAGTGACCTGGCTCAGAAGCAACCGAAGATTCTGAGGGCGCTCATGCGTGATCTGTGTATCATCATGAGACGTTTCTAGTGTCTTTTGAGTGTCCCGCACTTTAATCTCTGGTTTGAACTGAAAGCTTAGTCGCGAATAAAAATTAAAAAAGAATCAGTCGCAGGGCGGATGTGTACTATCGTTTTCTATGCGACCACAGGCAACAAGCCGGAATAAGAACAAAACTGCTCCTCTTACGCGTACATAAAATATACACGCACACCTGTACATCGGTTGCGTAACTGGCCACAACTGGATATGAAAGAACATCGATTGCAGTAGTATTGCACATGGTAGTAGCGCAGCAACTTTAGTTGTTAATCATGTGCAGCAGAACTCGCTTTGATCATGTGTGCATAATCTGAGCAGCCGGCAGTATCATCCCAAAATACTGACACATATTGCTCGTTTGCTTCGTGTCGTATCTATCTCAAAATAAAGGGTCATTATATGAGCATGTCGTTGAATTTTCTATGCGGCTTATTATATGCGTGTCGTGTATGACGACATGTGCTTGGTGCATGTGTGTTAATCCTTTCAACGATCGAATATCTGAAGATAATACTATAGCTATATTACTATGACAGTGACGTATAGGCACGGCCTACAGACATATAGTCGATGACGTATATATATATAAAGGTATATAAAAATAATAGATGATGTATGAATATACAAAGGCATATAAAGATGTACGAATATACTCATATACAAGAATATATAAAGATGCATACGATAGATAAAGATCCGACAAGCATTTTTTTTGTTTTTTGCTGTATATAGCTAGAGACACAGTGCATTGATACCATTTTAAAGATCCACGAGGTAAAATGTCTGCTCCGTCCTTCAAATCCAAAGGCTTGTTATATAAGATCTTCTCAGGGAGGAGAATCATGTGTATGCGTTTTTGAGAGTGAAATGTGAGCCACTCACTAATCAGTAGCATCTGGATAACCTGGAGCTTGAAAATATTTATCGTTCTCCAATTTCTATGATTCTGTGGCTTATTCAACGTCTACATTTTTTTCCCCAGGAGTATCGACTCTCACCTTTGAAATTATAAGGTAAAATTCGGAATGGCATACTGCATAATAAAAATAGACATTTCGCAAATCCGTTTTTACATTTTCTGATCTACTGCTTTTGTATTTAAGGTTACAAATCGCTTGCCCATTGATACTCATTTGAAATGTACACAGATTGTCCTGTCTACTTCTCTGCGCTCTCCCTTCATAGAAGCCATATCCATCCAGTTCACAAAAGTTCGTCTGGCCAACATCATGATCATGATGATCAAAGAGATGAGGAAGATAGCGAACAGAAGGCTATTGCTGAAGCCATTCGGGCTTGCTTAACAGGTCGCCTAACATGTAAAGAAGGTAATGTGGGTAAAGCGATTAATGATCAAAATAAATTCGACAGATTTTGCTGACATGAAGCGTTGGAGCACAGTCACAAAAGCAAACAAACTGCTGAAGAACTCGTTGGGTACGGTAAGTAGTATTCCAAAGTGAAAATTCTTCTGGAATTCACAGCCATGACGGGACTTAATTTCTCATACTGAAGCATCGCGTTCGCAGGATAAGATAGTGCTGAAGTCAAACGACGACAATAGACTAAAGGTGCCAAGTAAACAAAGGAGAAGTAGTGAATACACTCTTCTCTACAAGACTAGACGATCTTCGAGCTACTGAGTACCTTCGGCAACGAATTGATAAGCAGAACTATATAAAAATCAATCAGCCAACGAAATCATTGCCAGTTGTGAGGCCATAGAACCGGGTCTAACTTCAAAGAAGTACTTCTTTCAGAATCTTTGATACAGTATTCAGAGAAGATTGCTCAATTTCTGAAGTATCTCCTCGATGCTAAAATCTACTCTTCCTCAAAAGATGTTCCAATAGAAATTTCCGTATCGCTTTGCGAAATATTCAGGCGATGCTTGTAGAGGAAAACCGAATAAAGCTTAAACGGAAGGGAGCTATCCTGTCCGCCGCCCATGCCTCTCCGTCAAAGAACAAAAAAAAATACCAATTTCTCTCGAAATGAAGCAGCGAGAATTGTTGAAGCAGCTGCTGCCAAGAAGAAGCGACAGGCCGAAGCTGCTAAACTGCTAGGGTTAAGGCCGAGAAGACGATTTGTGCAATGGAGATATCGCGATTCTCGAAGCACCAAAAAAACCCGCCATGCTTTCATTGTGTTCATATTATAAAAGTCACAAGCCAGGATGCTCTAAGGCGGAGGCAAAATTATAGTACGGCCCCGGGCAGTCTTTTAGTGAGTGAGAGACTACAGAAGTAGACGTATTAACCCCACATAGCACGCTAACAGTGAGCATTATTACTCCCAAAGAAGACAATAGTGATGTTAAGATGAATAATTGACCATGTATCGATACCTTTATAAATAAACAAATAAATTTCACTGCGTGAGCCATTACCGGGGCAGAAAATTCTTTAATTAATAAACATCAATGTATAAAACTTGAACTAAAACAATCGCAATGATTATTTTGTATAAAAATTAACGTGGTTGAACAACCCAAAGTCTAGGGTATTTTCCACGTGTGTAAGGCGCCCTAGCCTCGTGAGTACCAAACTACGCTCAAGTTCCTGCACCGGCAGTGTAAAATTGATAAAGTGATATCACTCTATTTTTACAGCTCAATCCAGCATGTCAACAAGAATGCCATATTCAGCGCAGCGCTATATATATCGAACACAGTAGCATAGATCCCTCCTTTTGGTTTCCATAGAAGTGACCGATGAACTTACTAACGATTTCAAGGGTGGAAGTTTGTTGTATTCTATATTTAGCTTTTGCGGCTTACAGATGTTCAAATTGAACTTATCGATGGTCGAGATGCATATATGAATCTATATGTAGTGAAGATACTAAATGATATTAGATGATTTAATTAAGTTGGAATGACCTTAACGGGCCTGCTGACTCATGTGAGGATATCGATATTAATATCGAAGAATATATTGATGAGATAAACAAGCCTCGACAAGTTGAGCCTAATCAAGAGCTCATTGATATATTTATTTACCTTCTAAAGTTAAATGAGAAAACCAACATTACCGAGTATACTGATTTAACAGAGGTAAAATCTATCTAAGTATGGATAAACTTTTAAATCAATATTAGACTTAAATCATAAAAACACTCCAGTCATTGTGGCGTTGTTAGCTTTAGAACAACTAAGAACTCTTTAGGACGAGCTTGTGTGTTTGGATATTAGACCATTGAATGCATTTACGCAAACAAAATATTTTTACTGCCAAATACTACGTTAAAGGAAAATTTAGGAGAAAAGATGCTTTACCTTTTACATTTGAAACAAGGATAATATCAATTTTAGATTACTGAATCTCACCAAAACTATGTAATATTCACCATTTGGCCTTCACATGCTTGTATCCTGTTTTCAAATGATTGTGTCTCATTTGTTCGCAGACGTGGAAAATAGATGATCTTACTGGAAGCATTAAGCAACCTTGAAAGTCTGTGTAGGTTGATGAAAAACCTAAGCCCAATCTATCGAAGTCGAAACTTGGATTGACGGAAGTGCATTTTTTAGGACACGTAGTAGATGCTAAAAGAAGAAGAGCTGACCCAGAGCGAATTAAACGACTGATGCAGTTCCCAACGTCGCAAGCGAGTAAAAATATAAAATACTTGCTTGAAATGCCAAATTTCATGCGAAAGGAAATTCCGCACCTTGCGAAATACTCAGAACCTTTCAGCAAGCTTTCTACCCAAAAGAATTTAAATGTGGAATGAAAAATGGTACAAGAAACTTGAAAACGCTAAAGAGAGTAACAGCTGAGGCTCTTGCTGTGACATATCCAAAAGGAGTAGCATCTTTCTTATTGGAAACTGGCGTGTCCGACTATGCAATAGAAGGAGCGAAATATTCGAGAATAGACGAGAAAAAGTCATATATCCGTTCCTTCACTTTTGAGTAAGCACCAGATCCACTATTCAACAAGCAAAAAAAAGTCGTTCATAATAATTCAAGCTCTGATGGAGCACACATTGTAATAAGAAAGGACTATAGAGCCTTAATGTATATACACACGATGACCCTACTGATAAGAAACTATTAAACAGTATGATTTCACGCTATCATATCTCCGATGAAAAAAACTTGCTTTGCCAATATGGTATCTAAAATACTTACGGACGCCCAAAGAAAATAATTAGGATGGTTACCGGAACATTGAGTCAGCATAGTTGAGTGGGTGACAATTCCGATGTAGTTCCAGCTATCGGGACCTATTCTCGGCAAGCGTACAACAGGCTTGTTTGTTAATCACTTTAACCATCAAATTAGCATATACTGCACAAAAAATGACCAATTGATGCCTTCTCTATTGATTAGACATAAGAAAATCGTTGGAGAAATCCTCCTTTGTTTAGCAACTAAGATATTAAGTCGTGTAAAGAGGATAGATTTGAAATAACCCTTTGTTTTACTGCCCTCTTCGAAAGAAATTAAACGAATGAAAGAACTTGAAGGTATGATAAGTGCTGACCATATGATATTGCCTAGAACCCGGAATACCTTTTAAGGTATGGTAATGAACATGTGGGGCATACACTGTGGGAAGCTACAGTCATTGTCCGAATATAAAATAACAATGGTGATTACAAGCTTCCTCTTTGTTTGAATTCAAAACAAACTAAAGGAAATCTGAAGGGAAGAAGCAGCAGAAACGTCAGATATTGAACGTTTTTTTTTTTCAGGCGAGAAGCCTGTCTGATCGAGATGAGAGGCGTGATCCCATGCTCAAATACCATGCGCTGTCACGTGAAGGCAAAAATACGACAGTTGATGCTTTTAAAGACGCTGGACGCAACAACTGTAAACTTGGATTGTACCGATCAGTGTTCAGATCAGCACATGACTCATATTAGATTGTGCCATTAACAATCGTCTCCCTCTGTATGAAAGGAGGACGTTGAGATACTGTTATTCGACGTCGTACTATATTTTTAACATACTAATGAAATTGTTTTTTTAATAATCAATCCAACGAACAACTATAGTGTAGCTTAGCTGGTAATAGAATGTTTCCTCATATAACAAAAGTAGTATAGAGGAAAGCATCAATGAATCAGGAAGAAAATGAGGAGGTAACAGAATAGTGATTTGGATCATACGGATAGTGGTTACGCTAGTAGTGACACAGGCGATTCGATGCCACCGCTGATGTCAGACAGTAATAGCGATTGAGACACTTACTTACAAATAAATAGCACAGTAGACCACGTCATCGGGAGAGGGACCCATCAATAACGAATTGCGAGGGATGTTTCGGCGCGAATGCCTAGGGGAAGACAACGTAAACAATTGATATTCAGTGATGATACTTCTTGGGAAGCTGGGGAGTCACATCAAGAGCAGCAACCAGCTAGAACCTCGTTGACGATACAATATACCCCAGTAATATTGCCGCCAATATACGATGAAGAAGTACCCGAGCAAGAGAACCCAGAGGAATGCCCGGAAGAAGGAGATAAGTAATCGGCGGTACCACACATAAGGCAATACTATTGTTTTTGATTGTGTATACGTGGTAAAATGAAAATTCTTGTTTATTTGTTTTATGTGTTTGATAAACAAAAACCGAGTACCAAGCCTAGCTCACGAACATAGAATTAGCTATAATACCTGATGATGACGGACATTAACATATGGTGTGGTCCTTTAGATGAAATTGAACGAATAGTGAGGGGGGCAGAGTTACTTGAAGTGGTCCGGCGCTGATAGAGAAGTACCCAGAGAGCTGTTATAATACACACAAAAAGGTATGAAGACTGATAGGGACATGGGTGAGCAATTAATAGTCAGGATTCACCATCGTGTGCGATAACGGTTTATTATGAGAGGTAGAACGCTAAGGATAACTAGTATACAATGATAATTGGTATTACATCCTTAGCAGGCAGGAAGGGTATAATAGGTACCTGTAGATCTAGAAGGTGATGTTTGTGCGAGAGGTTATATATACCAGAGGTGAAGCCGTGCAGCAGCACCTAGATTGTCGAAGGAGAATATACGACAGACACGATATTTTAGATGCGTTAGATGCTTTTGAGTCGCTTCAAAGAACTGTTTGAAAAAAAATAAGAAATAGTATTGTTCAAATCGGTAGCGGATAGGTTGTAATATATCTCGGATAATAAAGGTATCCAGCTATCATTACTACTACGGGAGCAACCGGAATCACGGGACATAAGGTATTTAAAGTTCATAAAATTCTAGTCACAAGATCTACTACGAAATCAGGTAAGCTATTTGGGTGTTTATGTGGTGAATCAAATTCAGAATCAAGCACAGACCAACATACAGCGTATACTTCAATGTTAGTGGTGGTGTTATATATATAT